GGGTGGTCAAACATGAGGCCCGCGGTTCCAAATCGGCCCGCTGGGGTGTTCGATACGGCCCGCTTGATGGATTTTCAAAGTAAAACAAATACAAACTAAAAATATATTTAATTAAATGTTAGTATTTTCTTAAATCCTTTGCGTCAAAACAAAGGGGGAAAAAACATGAATTATTGTTATTTATTTATTATTTAGAGGTAATCAACACTGCCAACTGAAATAGTTTTTCCACTTGAAAAACACTGTCTCGTTCCAGTCAAAGAAGTACCCCTTAAAATTCATCAAGTGGGCCGGATTGACCCCCCCCAGAGGGCCAGTTTTGGGCCCGTGAGCCATATGTTTGACACCCCTGGTCTAGTAATTGTTCATATATTTACAATACAATTCCCCATAGTTGTCCCTTTGGGCTTAAGCTGGGCCAATTTTTTTTTCTCCTTTGGTCTAAGAAATGCTGGGATTTAAGGCGCCACACAAAAGTCCTGTTACATTTTTAAGGAGGAACAGTTGGTCCTCGCGACATCGACGCTGCTGACGTGCTGCCTGACCATCGTGTACTGCTTTGTCCCCCCCCCCTCCGTCAGAAACAGATACGATCAACGGTAGACAAAACACAATCACTGACTTCATTAAGAGCATCAGGACCACCTTAAAAGTCAGTCCGTCTTTCCCTCTCCTTCCAGTATTTTGACAGAAATCAACTCCTGGAAGTGTTTAAAGACTACAGCTTTATCTTACTGTTTACAAAAACCCTTAGCTGTTTCGTCTACTTTAAGATAAATGCATACGCACAGGCCGTGGGCGCACGTACTGGTAATCACGATGTTATCGCCGACACATAGCCTTGGGTGACGGCACGCGTGATTTACACCTTAAGTTGATTTAGGAATATTTAAAAGAGAATTGAAAATGCGTTAAAAGGTGTTTGTGTAACTTTTTTGTAGCAGAAAAATGTCCCAGTCTTTAAATACGGTATGTTTTAGTGGAATAAGTACAGAGATTTGTGAATAATAGGTTATAATATTGAATAATAAACAACAACTGTGAATAAAATTGCACCTGGTGCGTGTAAGGGTAAAGTTTTATGATTTTTGTTCGGACTAAACGACGTCACTAAAGCAAGCGTTCGTTCGGGAAAGTAGTTTTTGTGCATCCCTAATGTTTAGGGATACACAAAAACTACTAAACGTAGAAAGCTCTTTATTGTGACAGAAAACGACGGTACAGCAGCGGCCTCCAGTGGGTCGCACCATCAACGAAAACCAACAGATCCACTTCACGTGCACTGACGTCATGGTGCCAGCGAGCGTCGCCACTGAGCAATGCTCTGACAGGGGCCTCGGAATTTCTGCTACAGCTGATTTCGGTCGCCATCTTTATCTTGAACATAAACAACAGCAAAAGGGCTCGCTTCGGCGTTTGCATGACACCGTGGCCTCTTTTCAAGGCAGCGACGTCTGCTTCCACCACCGCAGCGAGGACTCTCCCTTGTCCCGAGATGGCGGCGCCTGTGGGGACCTAAGTCACCGTGTCAGTCGGTAAGGAAGCGGCGGAGTGGCGAACGGGAGACGGTAAACAGTGTCTTTTAAACGTGCTGCAGTGATGCCATGACAACGCAGCGGATGTCAGAGTCGCGGCGTGAATCTTTTTTAAAGTAATATGTTGAAATATATGTCCGTTTTAACCAACTGTGGACGCGCATTCGCTCTCTATGAAAAAAAATAACGAAACCTTTATACGTATAACGCGTGAGTGTGTCGTCTGAACCAGGCCGTGTCATGTCACTATCATGTCTCCGTGCAACATAAAATGCCGCATTTTTATACAAATACTGATGTGTTTTTTTGTCCTTTTCACAACGATTTTATGTCCATGTCTCTGTTTTTATAGAGATGGGGCTGTTCTCCAGTTTTGTGCCTCACGGGGAGAGAGCGTATTTGTAAGGGGGCGGGGGCGAGGAGGGGGAGTAGTACACGGTCCTTGCTGCAGGTCGTCTCTGGGGACATGGACCAGGACTACGAGAGGAGGCTGCTGAGGCAGATAAACCATCAGAACCTGCCCACAGAAGTCCGTCTGTCGAAGGTGAGCCAAGTTATAATATATTTCATAATTTGAAGAAAAAAAATAAAAATATATATATATATACCGTGTATATATGTATATATATTTTAATATATATACATATACGGTGATATATATATATTCTTAGTGTGTGAGTCATAATTTAATTGTGTTCAAGTCACAGAAAAGTGTTTTGAATGAAGTCCAAGTGCGCTAATGGAACAAACAAACAACATTAGCCTCATGCTAGCTCGAAGTTACCACACATTTTCAAGCTACTTTTTCCATTTTTATTAAAACATAAAGACCAAACACTACTTCAGTACTCTCCATGTGGATGATTTTTTATTTCCTGTGACACCTCGTTCAAATGATCTTCTCTGTCCTCCCAGTGTGTCAGTGCCACCTGCAGTCCTGTCAGTGTCAAGTCAGGAGACCGCTACATTCCCACCAGAGCTGGAAGCAACTGGAGTGTCAACTTCCACTACGCCAACGTGATTACTTCATTGAGATGTCTGTTATGGTTTGACTTCCAACGCAGCAGCTTAGATTCTCACTCTCTCTCTCCCCTCCCCCCCCCCCAATCGTCTGTCTTCACAGGAAAACTGTCGTTCTCCCAGTCAGAACCACAAAGCTAAGGATGCTAGCTCAGACTCCAGCAAAGGTCAGAGATGTTGGTTCAGATGTTCAGGTGAAGATGTCTGTGTGTGTTACCGCGCTGTAATCTTCTTCTGTGTTTGCCCTTTTGTTTACCGCAGACACCGTTGCGTATGCTGCACTGTTAAGGAATGAGCTGCTGGGAGCAGGGATAGAAACAGTACCGGACGCTCACGTCGACGACCGGCGGCATGCAGTCCTTTCTCAAGACTCGCAAAGTCTTTTTAGGGTAGGTGGTGTTGGATTTACAACTTTAGCTTTGCTGCCCTCAAGTGGTTAAGTACATTTTAGAGTCAGTTTTCCAGGTTGAAGTTGTTGTTTTTTTTAAAGTCCAGTTGTCAAGTCTTTTTAAGCTTCTTGACATTAATTTTATTTCATGTCATTATATTGGACGGATAGGCAATAGGCATGGGCAAACTAAGGCACGGGGGGCCTGATGCGGCCCGGGCATGGGCAAACTAAGGTACGGGGGCCTGATGCGGCCCATCCGGCTTTTTAATCCAGCCCGCCAAACCTTTCCAAATTATATAATTTATATATATTATCATTATACTTCTGCCTTTTCCCTGCAATACCCACATTTCCCCAATAGATGGCAATGATAAAAAGCATTTTAGCCTTTATGCTTTATGACTTTTACATGTCATTTATCTTAGTTCACACGAACGCTCCGTCTATCTGCTCCTGACCCGGCCCCCGTTGTTCAATTTTAGAACAGTTGTGGCCGCGAGTCAAAAAGTTTTCACGTCGGAATTCTGTCACTCAGCTAAGCTAACACGTTGCTAACATCATAATCTAGGACAAACAAACATCAAAAGAGTCTGACTTGTGCTTGGGAGCAACAACGAAGGGCAAAAAAAAAAACCCAACACAAATGAAGGAAAGTGAATGTAGCAGCGTAGGTCGAGAACGCCCAAAAACCGAGGACCCCGACGCTACAATTTGTAACATAATGACCTTAGAAAGTAATCGAGAGAAGGTTATCTTGACCCTCACAGGCTTTCACTCACGATTTTCGTCCTTGTCTCTTCTGTCCAGTATACCGTCCACACTAAGAGATTGCCTTTTGATAGTGATAATGAAGTCTCTCCGTACTCCCTTTCCCCACTTAGCAACAAGAGGTACGTCACACCTTCGCCGCTGACCTCTGACAGATTTACCGCTGTAGAATTGATGTGCCGTGGATAAGATTTGTCTCATTGTCTCGGCGATTGTCTCTCCAGTCACAAGCTGCTCCGATCTCCTCGGAAACCAGCCAGAAAGATCTCCAAGATCCCGTTCAAGGTCCTGGACGCCCCTGAGCTGCAGGACGATTTTTACCTCAACCTGGTAGACTGGTCGGCGGGAAACCTGCTCAGCGTCGGTCTGGGAGCCTGTGTCTACCTGTGGAGCGCGTGCACGAGCCAGGTGGGAATCGAACGCACAGTTGTGTCGTTCGAGGTCCGGCATCGCTTGTGGATCGTTGACTCCGTCTGCGGGTGCTTAATATAAGGCGTTCTCTGTTTTAACAGGTGACAAGGTTGTGTGACCTCTCGGTGGACGGAGACTCCGTGACGTCGGTGTGTTGGAACGAGAGGGTGAGTTGACGAAAACGGAACTGATATTGTATTTTAAATACAGTGTTCCCTCTCTATATCGTGATAAAAAAACATTTTGTAACCTAGCCAAAAGACATCGCTGGTAGCTTTGTTTACCTCGAGGAGATCGAACACCGCATTGGCTAATGCGTCGTAGCATCTCTCCGCCCTTGTCTGTCCGCCACTCGTTCACGTCGCTGTAAAGTTTGTGCTCTCGTGTTTGGTTTTCGCGGTGGGTCTCGGAACGCGACTACCGCGATAGGAGAGGGAACACTGCACAAGACATCTAAACGCTGGTGGACATAGATGTTAGCTATGATGTTAGCTATGACAGCTATGTTGCTCTGGGTTCATTAGGGAAGTTTGGTGGCTGTCGGAACGCACAAGGGCTACGTCCAGATCTGGGACGCGGCTGGAGGGAGGAAGCTGACCAGTCTGGAGGGTCACTCGGCACGTGTAGGTCAGTCACAGAGCAGTGTTTTTTTTTTTTAAACGTTTCAACAATTCTGTTAATCACCTCAACATGTTGACAAGACGGGACTTTCTTTAGTTGTTGTTTCCATCGGTACTGCGTGTACATTGCGCTGCCAATCAGATGGCGTTACGCAATATTCCGAGTTATGCGATCCCTGAAATGTGAGTGCCGCCCTCTGTCACTCTTTGTGATGAAGGTGCCTTGGCCTGGAACGGGGAGCAGCTGTCGTCTGGAAGTCGGGACAGAGTGATCCTCCAGCGGGACATTAGGACGCCCCCTACAGGTGAGAGGAGGTTGCAAGGTCACAGGCAAGAAGTATGTGGTCTCAAATGGTCGCCTGACCACCAGCACCTCGCATCTGGAGGCAACGACAACAAGGTGAAACGTCAATTCTTCGTGTATTTGATGGTAGGATATTCGAAATACGTAAATACATAATTCCTTTTTTTTTTGTCTCCAGTTACTGGTATGGAACAGTTCCAGTCTGTTACCTGTGCAGCAGTACAGCGATCATCTGGCAGCAGTGAAGGCCATCGCCTGGTCTCCTCACCAGCACGGGCTGCTGGCCTCGGGAGGAGGCACCGCTGACCGATGCCTACGCTTCTGGAACACACTTACTGGTCAGGCTCTGCAGAGTACCGACACTGGCTCCCAGGTCTGCAACCTGGCCTGGTCCAAACACGCCAATGAACTGGTGGGTACACACACAAACACGCCAATGAACTGGTGGGTACACATACACACACGCCCACATACCGTATTTTCCGGACTAAAAAAATCACACTTTTTTCATCCTTTTCCTGGGTTTTAAATTACTTATTACTTGTATATATAAAAATATATCATTTCACGTTTTTATTTTCACACTGACAGCCACTAGAGGGCACTCCAGGCTTGTGTACCAGTATCTGCTACTCCTGTACCACTAAAAATTGACATATTTTTTTTATTTTCACACTGCCAGCCGCTAGAGGGCAGTGGTGCAACCTATACTCCAGAGCGACTTATTAATTCATTTTATTTTTTATTATGCATTTTCTGGCTATTGTCTTATTAAAAGTCATTTTAGTTTTATTTGGTGGCCCAAATGGGATGTAGCTCAGTGGTAGAGCACATGATTTGCATGTATGAGGTACTTAGCTCAATTCCTGGCATCTCTAATACTTTTGTGGCCTAGTGGTTAAAGAAGCAGGTTAGTGTCTGGGAGGTCACAGGTTGGATTCCACCTGCTACTGAGGTGCATTGAGCATGGCACCGTCCCCACACGCCGCTTCCCCCCAATGTACAATAGAGTGCTTTGCTTTTAAATACACAACACACACACCGTAGCTAATTGATCTTCTTACATTGGTTCCAGGTGAGCACTCACGGATACTCCCAGAACCAGATCCTTGTGTGGAAATATCCGTCACTAACACAGGTGGCCAAGTTGACAGGTCACTCGTACCGGGTGCTGTATCTGGTAAGAAAACTGCTTCTATTTTATACAGATCTATGTTTTTAAGCATACATTAGGGCAAGGGTGCCAAACCTGAGGTACCGTAGTGTATATATATTGGATTACGGGTGCCAAACCTGAGGTACCGTAGTGTGTATATATATTGGATTACGTTTTTTTGAAGCTACAGACGCTGTTGTTGTTCTTCTCATTAAGGCGGTGTCACCTGACGGAGAAGCCATTGTCACGGGAGCAGGTGACGAGACCCTGAGGTTCTGGAATGTGTTCAGTAAAACGCGCTGCACCAAGGTACGACATGTCGACAACTGAAACCTTACATTCCCCTGATGATGAACAGTTTGGTTTTACAGGAAGACGTTTGTTCCCTCCAGGAATCGAAGTCCGTGCTGAACCTCTTCACCAGAATACGATAGTGAACGGATATCTGCCATAACAGCATCAACAACAGGAACGACCACCAGACCGATCTCCACCCGCAGCCATTTTTTTTTTCTACTTCGACTCGCACCTGTCTTTCGTCGTGAGGTCACTTGTCTAAAATTATAAATAGTAATAATAATAATATCGATACCAAGCAGACTATTGTCAGGACATATGTAAAATGTGTTAAGTGGTTTCTCTTCCGTTGTGTAATAAAAAAATGTTTTATTAAATATTAGCAAATAGTATACATACATGTATGAAAGTTCTACTCTGTATCATGTACAAACAGACAAACAAACAAACACGTGTTTAGGAATGACCTCTGTATTGTTTCAGAGAGTAAAAAAAAAAAACAACAGAACTTTTACGATGCTTTGGTGGGGAGGGTTTCTATATTTTGATAATGCGTTAAAAAAAACAAAAGATTTACAGTGGTAAACATCCGAAGAACAATAAATGTGTGAACACAGAGAGCTGCTCATGCAGCTGGAAATAAAGTCCAGTTTATTGGTGCTTTGTCTCATCGCAGTGGACGTAAAGTCAGATTGTAATTTTATAGAAAGTCAGATTTTTAGGTAGGAAACACAAGAGAAGTTAAGAACCCCTTACATTTTACAGTCTGGATTAGTGAAGTAGCTAACCTTTGTCCCAGAAAAACCGTAAATACTACTTAAATGTAAAAAAACGGAGTACACAAAGTGTAAAATATAACTATTTCCTCAGTTTAGCAAGGTCAGCAGGGGAGGCAACCAGTACTCCACCTCACCTCAAGGGGTCGTACGTGAGCTGAAAGTCGGCGCCAACGTCAAGGAAGTAGTAGGTGAAGAACAGCGTTTTCTATGCACTTCCGGTTCCGACTCACTATGGCTTGTATTTCAAGACGGAAGTACTTCTCAAAACTTGACTTCCGCGCCAACGCCGGAGCTAAAAGGTTAGCTTTAAACTACGGGACACTAAAAGAGTCGTTATTTTTAAATGTACCGGTACGAACGAAAAGACTGGCTGCGTGGCTGTCCTGTAAGAAACCGCCATTACTGCTTTCCCTGTCTTTTAATCTTATCGTGTGATAACGTCTGGACTAACTCGGGATACTGTGACCTGAAAAATGTGAAAAACATTAGCATCCACAATGCTAAGGTGACGGAAAACCGAGAGATACAACCATGGACTTCGTCCGTAAGTAAAGGTAAGGCTAAAAAATGTTTTTGTTTTTTAAAAATAACATTATCAAATTGGTAGACAACCTTTGATAAAAGCAGCAGAATTTAAAGTTTGAAATATAACTGAACTTTTTACTGAAGGTCCAAATTAAATGTGTGCTGCACTCATTTCTATATTTTAATTTGTTGGTAAATGTGAATTTCTTAGACACAAGAAGGGTGCTCTACCCATTTCTATAAAAGAAACGTTCTTTGTAGGACAAATGTGACATTTTTGTTTAGTGGTGCTGAACCACTGTGTTGAACCACGTATTTGGCGCCCTCAAGTGGCGGTTTGTTAAAATTGTTGACGCAACAATTTACCCAATGTTGAATCAATAAAGTTAAATTAATAACAATAATAACCATAATTACCACATTTCAAATCACACCAATGGTTTTCTTTTTCTCTAATGGTAATTTATTACAAACATGGCACAGAAACTCATTCTTCACAAAAAAATAATTCACTTTCTCAAGTATATTTCTTGGCTTTAGTGTTGTTTAGTGTCACTTTTGGCATGTTAACAGATGAACTTAGAGTACAATGTCGGCGGCTAAGGTCAGTAATCCGAGTATCCTGATCCTTGCAGGCCTCGGCAGAGCAGAGAGAACTCCCTGACGATGTCCTTCACGCGACGCTTGTTGGTTTGCTCCCTTCGAAGAAAGGCACATATGAGACGTATCACAGGACACGATAATACACCTGAAGGATTCAGAATACACGGTAAGATCAGTCGATACCTTAGCAGCTGCTGGGTGAAGCTGTGTTTCTGTTCCTCCGACACCTGAGCTGCAGGGAATCCCGGAGTCTGCAGTGTTTCTTTTAACCACTGAGGCAGTGAAGTACTGTGTCGGTTCAGACTCAGCAGAACTTCGGAGTAATGTTCTGTTAAACTTTGTGGACAACCACCAGCCACTGCCTGAAACAATGGAAACATAAAATATACTATTGGAAAATGAGTAGTAATAGTACAGATAAAAATATACGTACATGTTATCAGGTTCTTAATAGTATTTCAATTTGTGGGGTGTCGGTCGGAATGAGGGAAAGGGGGTGTAAAAATATTTGTCCTCAAGAGGGAGCATGACAAAAAATAACAGAACCACTGTGCTAACTGAAGTGAGCCTGTTAGCTTGTTTGGGTCCTTTCCACACATGTGACAGGTAGCAATTTATTATTTGGATACCCTATGTAAAACAATAACATAGTAATGTATTTTGTTATGACTAATATGTAAATGTTAATTTAGAAAAATGTTGCGTAAAAATTTAAGTGAATGGACACAAGGCCACGTTACCTGGAGGACAGTCTCTGTCAGCAGCTTCCCGTCACTCTGCAGAACTTCACCCAAAGCTGTCATGTCTTTACAGCGTGGCAGCAGCTCTGTCTGTGGGAAAAAAAAAACAATAATCAATGAGTGACTGAAATACAATTTAAAATAAATTTAGAAAATTGTTTTTCAAATGACTTACAAAGAACAGAATGGCAGCCTTCACTGTGGGTGTCTCTGGACATTTGAGTGAAAGAATTCCTGCAGAAACATTTTTTTAAATGGTTACAGGGACTTTGCTGTAGTGTGTAAAAAAAAAAAAAAAAAATTAAAAATATATTTTTTTACATTAAAAAAATCAGATTACAAATAGAAATAAGTTAAAGAAAAATATTTCGTTTGTTTTTTTTTAATGGTATGCCTCGTCTCTCATGATATAATCACTTTTCCCCATATTTGGCATTTCCAGATACTACAGATATTTTATAAGAATATTTAGATGTTTATGTCTGGCAGTGTCCTATACATTTTTATACAGTTTTCTCCTCATCAGTTGAATGGACAAACTACAGCTCCTATACATTTTTATACAGTTTTCTCCTACGAAACCAGAAATGATTATCACTGATAATTTATCATTTAAATCATCAGTTGAATGGACAAACTACAGCCCAGGGGCCTTTGGGTGAGCTTGCCCAAATTATATTATAAAATTAAATTATCATGAGGCTTCTGTCATATTGCCTTTTCCCTGCAATGTCAGCATTTGTCCAATAGATGGCACACTCCAGGGGTGAGTTGTATTACTCTTAACTTCACTGTTGTGCCTGCCCTTCGTTTGAACTATCAATGCTCAGTAAAAATTAGTTAAAGAACACAATATCAGCTGTCACTTCTGTCATTGTGTTTTTTTGCCTGCAGTGTCAGCATTTGTCCAATAGATGGTGCACACCAGGGGTGAGTTGTATTCCTCTTAACTTCACTGTTGCGCCTGCCCTTCGTTTGAACTACCAATGCTCGGTAAGAATTTGTTGAAGAACACAATATCAGCTGTGACTTCGCCACAAGATGGAGTAGCTAACTGCTAAAAGCTAATAGCCGGCAAGTCATAAAGGTTAGCTTGTGTATTGACTCTTTTACCTACCACAGTAAAACAGTGCCTTTTTATCCAGTTGCTCACACAGATACAAGTCAGGCTTCCTTTTCAGGATCTAAAGAACAAAATTTTACAAATGACATCATCAGTACGGCGGCGTTGTGTAAACAAAGTAAACATACGTAATGGCCGTGTGATTAACCTGAGCGTGAAGGTGCATAAACGACTCTGCGATATCGGGATGATCCTGCACGCCTGCGGCAGAGGTTAATACCTTTAGAGCCACGAATAACATCTCAACGTGACGTAGCAATTTTTTTTTGTTTTTTGTTTCTCTACATCACCTTGTTGA